AGTAATAATACTTTGAGTCATTCGAATTGACAATTTCTTTCTTGAAATATATTTATATTTACTAGGCCAACTAATAAAGTTTGATTAATGTATTACCATTGAATCAGAAGTATGTAAATTTTTGGTAAGATGTAACGTACGATAAAACATTCATAGCAATAAGGATAACTGTGAAGTACTAGTCATACAATGAAAAAGGTAAGAAAAAAAAAAATTATGTGTGTGCACAATGAATAAAGGTTGTGCGGGGCCTAAAGGGTGGGGCCTTTATTTTCTTAAGTTTACGAAAAAAAAAAAAAAAAAATCGAATGAACAAGCAAAATTACGCTGTAAATTGTGTTTGATATAATTTTGGGTAAATTACGAATTTTTTCCATTGAAATTTTTATCGAGGAATTACAAGGCATTACCTAAACGAGCAAATGAAAAAAAAAAAATCAATTTTTGGATAGAATTTAATTTAAAAACTCTGTGTTTATTTAAAATAATTTTCACCATTTTAAACGCAAACTTTCAATTTATTAAGATAGTCTTTGAAAAATAAGTTTTTCCTTTCANCCATCAAGAGTTTCCCCAAAAAAAAAAAAAAAAAAAAAAAGGGGGTTTTTTAAAACTTTTTAATACACTCTAGGAAATTAACAGCTTTTTTGTAAAAAATTTCCGAACTTTTCTGCCTTTTACACTTTGCATCCGGTATACAAGCACCCAACTTTTCACTCTGCCAAAAATTAAATTCTCTCCTGTCAGCCACTGGGTAAACTGTGTTATCAGACCTTTGATGGTAGACATGGATTATGGTAATATATTTGGCAAAAACTGCGGTTAAATAAGCAATCAAAGATAAATGAAAAAAGTACAAGTAATTTTACATACAGTATTTTTACAAACCGTATTTTTACATACCTTCGAAATTTAAGATAAGAAGTAAGTATTGCACTAAAAAAAAGTAAAACATTTCTTATTCTATGTTGACTACAAGTTTTTTCATAAATTTATTTAACAATGTAACTACAAAGTTTCATAAATTGTTCTCTGAGGACAGTTTATCAAAAATCAACTTGACGATTCTGGTAAAACACCAATCGATTTGATCCCCTTGAATAATATTATTGACTTTTATACTCGTTAAAAGAATAATTTTATTCACTACTGTTATCTCTTTGAACCAGGCATTGTTTTCGTTTATCAACGGCACTTTTACAGCCTAACTGATTTCAAATACATTTACACTCGTTTCATAAATTAATTATTGTAATTTTACTTGTATTATCTTTAAATTAAAATTACATTTTTTTTTAGCGAATGATGTTGGTATCGATAGGAGAGGAGGGAGGGGGAAGTAAACTACCTCCACAAAGTTATAACGCTTGTATTTTTAGAGTACGAAAACAATTTAGGCATCCCTTTCCAGATGTGTCCACACTATTGAAAAACGATGACCTAAAAATTTTTAGGTTCAGTTGTTTTTGAGATTTATAAATGTTCAAAACATTCGATGACCCTTTTTTTGTGTGTACTTGCAGCAAAGGTTACATCTTAAAGTACTTATTCGAAAAACCAAACATCGCCTCGTCTCGATAATGCTAGTTAGAGATGATTTAAAAATAAAAAAGAAAAAACAGTGCAGGGTATCCAATACTTATAGTACAAGAGATAAATATTGTACGTTTTACATTACACGTAAGTCATTTTGTGTGATTTACATAAAACATATTTAAAAAATACATGAAAGTTTTTGCGCTCATAGGAAACAAACAAAAAAAACAAATCCTCTCTCCTGTGCAAAGTCGTTTGAGAGTTTTTGTTTCGTTGATGGAAAAAAAAAAAAAAAAAAAAAAAAATGTAAAGAAAAATATTTGTTAACAAAATACATATCCGTAACAGTAAAGAATATATATAACACCGAGTACAAATTTGGTAATAGATAAAAAATATCCGCTTCCTCAAAGTTTCCTTGGCAAAGGACAAACGTGGCAGATCATCAACATGGGATCGCAACCATAATTAATTGCATGGAGTATGAAAAACAAGTACTTTAACACTTTGACGTAATAACTTGGAGCGTAAGTCTCGTCGCAGTCGGTTGGACCAAAAGATTGTATCCCGATCAAAATGCCATTGTGGACGAGTGGACCTCCACCAAATCCAACTCACGATCTAACTAATATATAACCCATTAAAAAAAAAAGGATATTTAAAACATTTCATAAGTAAGCGATAGAAGTTTATTTGATATTGCGATGCACAACCAAATAATACTCCTGATGTGTGCACCTAAGAGTAAGTGACCATATACCTGATCTGCATGAAATTTGGACATGATTACTTACTCCCAAGTGTGTACATATATGATAATGAAAGCTCTCAACTCTTGAAAAAAATCACGAATATCAGTATTATAATTCTTAGCTCTCTCAGTGGTTCATGATGTATGTTAAAACTAATAAGTGTTAAAAAAAAAAAAAAAAAAAAAAAAAAAAAAGTTACTTAATACTTATCTTGAAGTCTTAACTGAATCCCGCCAATTCACATAGAAAGTGCACTGCACAGTTGCACACGCACATGACGCACACACTCTGCGGCGGAGGGGGGGGGATCCGTACATGGAAGTGAAGACAGCCGCAGTGGTATCTAAGCGTCGTAATCAGCTGAAAAGATGTATTATGTACGTCTATCTCTCCGTTGCACCGTGCCATTGTTGTTGATTGCTGTAAATTCGTGGTGGTTGTTGGTGCGTGGTGAAAAATTAATTTCCCTTATACAGTGAGGGAAGCTTCGACGGTTTTTGTGTGTGATATATATGCTGCGGCGCGCATAGAGGTTAGAAACTAACCTGCCGTACTTGAAAAAGCGTGCGTTTGTTTACATCGAGAGGTGTGTATGTGTTTGTGCTCTTTCTCTTTCTCTCCAGTGGAAATTTGGACACTTGCTTCCAAACTTTTATTCCTGTAAGCTGGGAAATGTGAAGATTTGGAAAAAATTTGGCCAGAGACTCTCTCTGCAATTGACTGACCAGGTCGAGGCTGTGGCTGCCAGGGCTTATAGGTATTTAGTGCTGCTTTGTTTATCAAATTTACAATCTATCACTTTAGCTGAACATAGGGTACATTTTTTATTACAATTTTGCAAATGAGTATTACAAACACAGTAACTTTTATCCAATAAGAGAGTTGTGCCTGATTAAAAATTACTGCAACTCATTTTTTCCACATTACGTTTAGTTGGGCAAGCTGTAAAGTAACTTGTTCAAACTTATCTTTACTTATCATGAAATGATACATACTTATGCAATTTTTAGTAACTAGTTGATTAATCTGACACTAACATTGCCCTGTCATCGAGTAATCGACTACTGTGATAAATCACTGTAAAAATTAATACTATTTTATAGACATTTATTTTTCATTGATCTGTTTGGTAAAAGTACATACATTTCGTTGAGTTTCAACCACGAAATAATTAAAATACTATATAGGCATTTACTTATTCATGGATGTGTTTATGACTGAGACATCTAACAGTTGCAAATACATCTCATTACTGAATCATAAACTTTACTTGATACTAATGCCAGAAAGTAATGTGATCTTTAATTGTGTACATGCACCAAGCATTAAATGATTCCAATAAAAAACCAGATTTAGACAATACAGCGTAATGTTAATGCTATACATGAAATATTTACCTTTAAACGTAAAAATTTGAAATTTTGTAACAGTAATACACCAATTTGGTAATGTAACTTGTCTGGCTCCTCCCTCAACCAGTATTTGAAAGAAATGCAATCCACTTCTGGCACTAAGCAAACTTTGCATACAGTGACACCTCTACACCACTCTGGTGATGGTGAAAAAACAGTGTTTCCAACAGAATTTGTGCATGTAAAAGAAGAGCTTCCCGATGACATAGAATCTCAAATTTTTGAAAATTCTTCACTACTTAATACAAATGAACAAGAGAGCATACTGAAGGTTGAAGTGGATATCAAGCCAGAACCCATTGGTGATGATAGAAACACCAACCTAGGTAATTGTGAGAGTTGTATTTTCATAGGATATTTTTAAAACTCTCTATCTACCTATTTGTGTTATATTGTATTATTTTGTCATATACAACACTGCATACAAGTTATAAGCTTTTTGCATTGAAATTATCAAGAAATTTTTATTTATGTTCAGTGAATGGTGTATCCATGTCTGATAATGTATTATACTATAAAAATTATATTGTAATGAAGCATCGTCTTACATCTCTTAAATTATTAGCTCAAAATTAAAATTTTTTTCAAAACCTTGATTTTATGATGATTGATTCAGTAACTTTTCTGCTTCTTAATTATACATAGTCAAATTTTTACTAGATCATGATACAGTTCCATCAAACTTGATCATTATTAAGAAAGAGGAGAGCATTGATATCATCGATGAAGAAATACAATTAGATTTTTATGAACCGTCATTAAAAAAGGGCAGTAGTAATGTATCCGACGACATTGTCAAAAGTAAGTTTAGCCAAACTGAAATGGTGGGATCTTCCTTTCAATGTAATGTTTATTCAAGTTGCAAAAATTTTTCTAGCATCAGGTGCTAACCTATTCTCTTGTAAATTTTGTTCCAAATCGTTTACACGTCGATCAAGAGCGGTTATTCACACGAAACACCAATGCAAGGACAATCCCAAAAAAACACCAAACTTTTACTGTGATAGTTGTGAAAAATCATTTACTAGTAAATTTGCCTATGATCGGCATCTACATTTTTATCATGGTGACAAGACACTACGTTGTGAGATTTGCAATTCTCATTTTCATAAGAAAGAATGGTTTGAAAGACATTTAAGGGAAATGCCATGCCGTAAAAGCCTTGCTGGGGAGTGCATCTGTTATGTAAGTTCTTACTATTGTGTAAAAACTCTTGCTTACTTTTTATTCAATAATTAACATCAATTGGCTTTTTTTTTTTTTTTCTTTTACTGATAAGAACTGTGGAAGAAAATATAAAATGCGCTCTGGTCTGCAGCGCCATTTGAAGCATGAATGTGGAGTCGTTCCTTCCTTTGGGTGTGCTCACTGTGACCACCACACCTCTCAGAAAAGTAACTTGATCAAGCACTTGGCTCGCTCTCACAATATACCCAAAAAACTAGTATCAGTTGTCTGTCCCAAGTGTAACAAATCTTACAAGAACGAGTGCACCTTGCGTAGACATCAGGATGTAGAGTGTGGTCAGAATCCAATGTTTAATTGCAAGCTCTGTCATTATAGTACCAAGCGGAAGTACAGTTTAAAGATGCATATTAATAGAAAGCACAATGTTGCATGATTTTTTAATTTAGTTTGAAACTATTTTTTTTTTTTAAACTGTTGACTATTTTCTTGAGTATTGAACAAATTGATGAAGTTTGTACACTGGAGTACATCTGTAATATATACATTATTTACAATTTCATGATTAATATATTAATAAAGTGTTTCACTTTTTAATGATGGATTACTTTAATTGTTTTTTTCCTAATGTAATATAACAGCCAAAATATCATCAACGCTTACCATAAATAACAAAATTCAGTTTGAGATCATTTTTCTCAACTTACTTGGCATAAAACTTTTCTTTAGCTTTTGTACTCCCTTTACGTATTAATTTTTCCGATTAAACAAAAAATTTTTAATGTTGCAGGAAATATTAGTACTTGTATAGGAAACGAGAAAGAAAAGGGTCCTTCTAACAAAGAGGAAACTCTTGATACGTTGAAGCAACCACGTACAATCGAACACTTTTTCTCGTTATTTTTGTCATAGTTTATGTGCACCTGATTTTCTTTGAAATGCCATTTGAATTCCAGATAATAATATAAATAAAGTAGTTGATTACGAATTTGTTGATCCTAGTGCTCTCAACGACAACTTTTCTGATTCAGGTTTGTTTGTCAATGTAAAAACAAATGTTGGTTTGCCATGTTCTTTTTTTCTGATAACTATAAATTATTGCAGTGACCACAGATCCAGTTGCCATTGGAAGTGTGGAAAATGTTAAGAAAAAGAGAAAAATAACTCTGAGGAGCTTGGAAGACATAGCCAACACAATTAAGAAACCAAAGAGAGAAAAATTTTGTAAGTAATCGCATCGGCGTGAATGTAGATAAATTAATAAAAGTATAATAAAAAAAAAAAAAAAAATCAGGCCTCATTATTATTATTATTATTATTATTCAGACTTGCACAACCTTCTGGTAATGTATTGCTTGAAATGCCTAAAGTACTTTGAAAAAACTTACGGCGAGAAGCAAAGGAACTGCAAGGAGTGTGAGGGTGTGCTGTACCACGAGTGCAAGGCGTGCGAGAAACGCTACCGCAACTACTGCGACATGACCATGCATTTGAAGTACGACTGCAACGAGGAAAAAGTTCTCGCGTGCAAACAGTGCGAGTATACAACGTCACGTCGGGCTCGCTTGAACGATCATTACAAGGCCATGCACACCGTCACCGACAGCAAAGACTTTATCAACTGTCCCAAGTGCCAGAGGTCCTTTCGCTTCGTGCGTTACCTGCGCTGGCATCTGGTCCACGAATGCGGGGACGAAAATTGGAACTACTGTCCCGAAAAGAACTGCGATTTCAAGACTAAGTATGCCACTTCGTTGCGCAAACACATGAACATCCACTATCGGGACGAGAGCGTGACCAACGACTGTGCCAAGTGTGGAAAGAAATACAAGACTCGTGGAGCCATGCTGAATCACGTCCGAAATCTTTATTAATTTATTTTGACTAGTTATGTCTTCAGTTTTTTTAACTATTATAATTAATTAATAATTTTATAACAAAAGTGGAAAGGAACCGCAGCTTCAGTGCGAACATTGTTCCTATCGTACCTTTTCAAAGTACCCGCTTATGGCCAATCACATACAGCGTCAGCATTCCTATGTTTACCCGAAAAACGCGTTCAGCTGTAGGTTTTGTCATAGTGATTTTCATCACGTCTACGGACTGAATCGTCATGTCAAGCAGGCGCCCATCTGTGCCAAGAAGTATCACGATAAGATGAAGAAAAAAGTTAATGCTGAATCCAAAAAATAGAATTATGTTACGTGAAAACATTTTTAGTTGATAGGTATTATTGTGTAATATATTTTTGCCCAATTATGTGATCCATGAGTTTTTGCATACACGACTGTTCCACACCTCTTTACAATAAATCTTGTTACTTTTGATGTGTAAAATAAATATGTGTGCGTCGTATTGAAGAAGTGCATTCAATTTTAATGAACTTCTAAAAAAATATCTAAACCGTACGTATTCTTATTAAATTTTTTATGTTAGTGAAAACTGTACCAGTCGTGCTTTGCAAACATTGATTTATTTGATTTATTTATTATTATTTTTTTTGTAATTTAGTCCGTTTCTTATCTATTAAGTTAGTATTTACTTAATAACTTAAAAAATGTATAATCTATAACTCTCATGAAATATAATATTGCTGCAGATTAATAAAGAAAATTTAAACCATTGTTATATGATAACTTTCTTCCTCTGTGCTCTAATTTCAATAAAATAGTTTGCAAATTCAAGGAAAACAACAAAAAGTGTTTTATTTCTTCACCAAAAACTACCCCACGTATTTTTGTCGAATCATTTTATTAGTATATTACGACACACTTGATTTTTAAACAACGTCGCCTTATGTATTTTATGTATCACAAAATAAATTTGTAATTTTTTATCTAAAAAAAAAAAAAAAATTCATACATGTTCAATGCACGAGTAAACAATCACTTATGGGCTAGATAATATTTTATCAATATTTATTTATTTATTTTTAGTGTAGTACAATATTTACATATTTTCAGTTCACTTTTTTTAGCGGAATGCCGGTTTGGTAGAAATAATTTTTTTCGTAAGCATGTCAGCAAAACAATAAAATGACAATATCATAACGTTGATGAAATGAAAACTTACATTTCAGAGAACCTTATCGGTTTGCCAGCAGAAAAAATGCGTCGAGAGTCAGTGATAAAAATGTTAGGTAATATACATATTATAATTTTAATGTAAATAGCGTAATGTTTGAAAACTGATTATCATGAGAATTATTTTAATTTCAGACAATAAATTATTAAAAACAGCAATTAAAAGCAAAGATAATGGATCGACGGAAAGATACAATTGTGAGTATTATTTTTTTAATATTAAAAAATTTTACAAAAAATACTCTGTACTCAATTTATCTGACAATTTATTAGATATCTTTTTAAAATAATTTATCAAGAATATTTTGGATATTTANTTTAAATTTTTTTTTTTTTTTTTAGACCCACGATTTTTTTCAATACATTCCAGCGAACAAGGGGAACTCAATCATTCCAGGTACTGTATAGATTAAATGTACGCTTTGAGATTATTGTGCGTGAGCGCACGCTGTGGTTTTTTTTTAACACTTTTATTCACGTGATGCCTTTCGAAGAAACTTGTTATCACGTGGCGTACTCGGCTCAAAGGTATTTGGTCGATCGTTTTCTCTGAAAAAACACATCTCGACGTTTCAAGTTATGACGATGATTGTGCGTAGTTCATAAGAATGTGCCATATGAAATTTATAAGCAACGTAAATTTTTCTCACTCATTTATAAAAATTTACTATTTAACATACTTATCCCTGAATCCTATCAAACATTCAGTGTATTGATCGGGGTTGTAGATAATCTTATTAAATCTCAATTCAATTACACTTAAACAAAGAATGAAATTTAATTGATTTAATAAAAGTTTCAAACTTAATCGTTATCTGAAGTATGAACCAATGAAAAATTGAATTGCATTTTTTATCATTAAAATATAATATTAATTGTTTAGTATTGAACAAATTGATGAAGTTTGTACACTGGAGTACATCTGTAATATATACATTATTTACAATTTCATGATTAATATATTAATAAAGTGTTTCACTTTTTAATGATGGATTACTTTAATTGTTTTTTTCCTAATGTAATATAACAGCCAAAATATCATCAACGCTTACCATAAATAACAAAATTCAGTTTGAGATCATTTTTCTCAACTTACTTGGCATAAAACTTTTCTTTAGCTTTTGTACTCCCTTTACGTATTAATTTTTCCGATTAAACAAAAAATTTTTAATGTTGCAGGAAATATTAGTACTTGTATAGGAAACGAGAAAGAAAAGGGTCCTTCTAACAAAGAGGAAACTCTTGATACGTTGAAGCAACCACGTACAATCGAACACTTTTTCTCGTTATTTTTGTCATAGTTTATGTGCACCTGATTTTCTTTGAAATGCCATTTGAATTCCAGATAATAATATAAATAAAGTAGTTGATTACGAATTTGTTGATCCTAGTGCTCTCAACGACAACTTTTCTGATTCAGGTTTGTTTGTCAATGTAAAAACAAATGTTGGTTTGCCATGTTCTTTTTTTCTGATAACTATAAATTATTGCAGTGACCACAGATCCAGTTGCCATTGGAAGTGTGGAAAATGTTAAGAAAAAGAGAAAAATAACTCTGAGGAGCTTGGAAGACATAGCCAACACAATTAAGAAACCAAAGAGAGAAAAATTTTGTAAGTAATCGCNGACCACAAGAGAGACAGGTGTAGCGCGTGCATATATATGCGAGAGGAGGACAAGAGTTGCCGCTCCCGTGGATGCTTGCCTGCCAACGTTTCTCTTTTTCCTCTCGAGAACAACCGATCACGTTGGCTATGGGTATACTTGTACATGCTTGTGCGTACGTATACGCCACGATTTCCTCGTTCATTTTATAGAGTTTTAGTATCTGTCGTCTTGTAGTTTGATGTGTAGTTTGATGTTGTCTTGATTTTTTCTTTTGATACTATTATTATTGTTTTTTTTTTTTTTTTTTTTTTTACTCTTGTCTATTGTTACCCACCACACACACCATTGCCTCGTATAGCGAAATCATTGAGTCTGATTCTTATATAATATTATACGTACATATAATATAATATAATATGCTAAGCAATAATGAGTAATAATAGTGGTAGTAGTAGTAGTATTTATAATATTATACGTACATATAATATAATATAATATGCTAAGCAATAATGAGTAATAATAGTGGTAGTAGTAGTAGTATTTTTAACTGGCTATAGTGTGTACTGATGATGATAAAGATGCTGTTGCTGCGATAATTTGTTCATTATTTATTTATTTATTTATTTAGATTATTTCGGTGATCAGAGTTTTGGGCACCACTACTATTTTATTGATCTTTACATACTTAAGAAAAATAATTTATTTTTATTAAAATGCATCATTCTTTTTTTTTTTTTTTTTATAATCTAGTGTAATTTTTACTGGAAACACTATAATTTTTTTTATCTCTATCCTTCACGAAAAATTATCGTGAGATTCACTTAATTATGTGTGGAGATTTATTTTCAAATATTTTTCCAAGATGTGTTCATACATGTATTTTGTTTTAAAAAATACAATACCTAATTTTTGCTGGAATTTTTTTACACTTGCCATATTAATGGTAATGAAAAAATATTACACGTAATTTCAGAAAAAAAAAAATTGTACTGCTAAGTATTTGCGAATGTATTACGACGCAGCCTTGTCGACGATCAGTGTTCAGTAACTATATTAATCACAGCGAGCAACGCAACCCGCAATGAACTCTGTATAAGCAATACATATACCGATCGCAATAAACGATAACGTTTTTTCGATAATTATACACAAATTTTGCTAGCACGTTTGGACGAGGCATATTATATACACCTATGTCTATATATGCAAATGTATTTGGTATATAACCAGCGTTTTTCATAATCATACAATGTACCAATTGTAGTTCTTATACAATTTTTTAGATCTTATTACATGGGCAGTCGGATCGATGCTTTTGCATTTTTTTGTATCTGATGTACGGATTATGAATATCAATAAAACAAACGAATCGATTTATCGAATGTGAAATCTTGTAATTTAATAAAAGTTTTTAAAATCATACTGTAGAAATTTGCTAGTAAATATTTTGTTGTAGATTCAAAAAACATTTCCAACCGTCACTTACTTACGTCATTCGTGTCTTGCAGGATACGCACCATTCGTCCAAAATACAGCTCACATGGGAAACGAAACAAGCTTTACCAACCAGTCGACCCCACCCGGCAACTCAAGTAAGTATACCTTTTGCGTTGATCATTTGTTATCTCTCAGCCGCACATTTCAGCGATCGATCCTGTCTCGTTACAGAGTCACGCCAAGGGAAGATTTGGTGGAAGTGTTTCTACTGCAGTTACCAGACAACCACAAAGTACACGCTCATTCGGCATATAAAGCTTAGGCATACTCAGCATCACGTGGACGATTACTACAGTTGTGCGAATTGTGGCTTGAAACTCAAAACTCGCGACAATTTGAACAAACATCAGCGGTACGTCTGCAGCAATAGGGAACTGCTCAAGTGTCAGCACTGCGCTTTTACCACGAAATACGCGTTTTCTCTGAAAAAACACATCTCGACGTTTCATATGTAGGGATTTTTTTTAAATTACCCACTGAAAAGATCGACAAGTCAAGAAATAAAGTACTTTTATTTTCTTTTGTCAACTCAGTTGCTTACATTTTAATCGTTTGGCGTGGTAAGATTAAGTTTATTTAATTATTTTATTTGGACGGTTCTCAACCAGTCCATAATGTGTGTCATTCAAGGTATTATAGAAATAAAGCTAGTTCATCTATTGATCCAATCACATTTATTTTATTAATTCCATGTATTTCTGTAACCCAATTGACTTTTATTAATTCATACAATGACTTTTTTATACTATTTTAAATCCAGCAAATTGTATTTTTTTGTTTGCAGATTATAACTTTTCATGAGACGAAACGTTGTTAATAAAAGTTTGCCAGGACTGTGGAAAAACGTTCAAGAGTTACAGATTATTGGCAGATCACATATTGTTTGAGTACGATGGTAGTTACTTGTATGCAAAATGGCTCCCTTAACAAGTATGCTTGTTGCCAGGTCTAAATATTAAGTAAAAAATTTTTAAACAGTTTTTTAAATAAAAGATGAAATGAAAACTTACAT